GGACAGAAAAAAGGAACGTATATTTTAGCTATCAAGATTTGATGACCCCCATCTCGCACTTGCTACATTTAAGTTATAACCATCACTCTGATTGCGCAAGGTCGGGTACGCCTTGTTTGTTCATGAATCTATTTTTAGTTTTTGGTCTGAATGCGAGAGAGAAACAGTGAGCTAAAAGGACAGAAAATTGACTCATTAGAACTAAAAAAATAAGAAAAGACTAGTTGCGTCGCCTCCTTTTTGCAGGTGGTTTGGTTAAGAGTAGACTCAAAGAGAGCATTGACAAATTACATGACCTGATTAGAACCAAAACAATGACTACACTGTATCAAGGTATACTAACATCCCAGTCCAGAAAGCTATTACACTCAGCCTAGATGAAGACCGAGAACTTATTTGGGAGGGAAATTTAAGCAAACCATCAATCTTAAGGCTTCTTAATCTATCCATGAGCAGCACATACTTCACCATTAATAATAAAGTTTATGAACAGGTGAAAGGCCTAGCAATGCTTGGCTGCCATTTTGACTAATATTTAGATGTCAAGAATGGAGGAGCACTTAATCGAAGAGGTAAGATTGAGACCCAAACTTTTAGTTAGACATATGGATGACTACCTTGCTATTTGGCAGCATGGCAATGATAGTTTAGATAATTTCTTGTGTTTTATTAATCAGTTTGATTACAATATAAAGTTGACAATGGAGATGGAGGTCAACTAAACTTGGCCTTTTTTAGATGTATTAGTGATCAGAGCAGGTGAGAAGCTAAGCAGGGATGTCTATAGAAAGCCACATGGAGGCTTTAAACTTAATTTTTTCTCCAATCATAGCTACAAATTATAGGTTGGAGTTTTAAAATCTATGAATATTCGTAGCATAAGACTAGCCCATATAGACAATTGTGACAATGAACTGAATCGGCTTAAAATAATTTTCCTTGAGAATAACTATCCCCTTTTTGAATGGTGAATACGTAAGGAGAGATAAGGAGACCTTTTCTCATGTTTTGTCTTTACCCTCGTGCGTTTCTAAAAGGATAGGTGAGCAAGTAAGGAAGTGGGGAATAAAAACTGTGTTTAGAGAAACTATGACAATTTCTTCCATCATGCCCACTTTTAAAGAGAAAGTTGACCCATTATCCAGACCGGGTTGCTACAAAATAATGTGTTCGTGTGGTCGCTTTTATGTTGGAGAGACTTGCCCTCCCACTCGACAGAGTCGATGAGCACAAAAGCGCCTTCAAAGGTTGTTGGGTTCAAAAATCGGAGCTTGCTGAGCACAGGGCAGAAACTGGACACGAGATTGAATGGTCTCAAGCTTGTCGTTTTGCTGATTATATGTTTGCGGCTAAACGAAAAATTAGAGAAGCTATTGAAATAAACCGAATAGGAAATACCTTTAATGTAAAGAATACTGGTAAGAAGATAACTAAAAACTATTTGTGCTCCAAAAAGGAGGCGACGTAACTAGTCTTTTCTTATTTTTTAGTTCTAATGATAGTCAATTTTCTGTCCTTTTAGCTCACTGTTTCTCTCGCATTCAGACCAAAAACTAAAAATAGATTCATGAACAAACAAGGCGTATCCGACCTTGCGCAAT